TTCAGAGGGAATGAAACAAAATATATAGTAGGTTTGTTTGTTCAATTCTGATAGAAACATTGGACATACTTACATTTAAGGGAAGTCTGTAATGACGGGATTATTATACACCAAATTGTGGGTGGAGTGAATGAAGGGAGTCTATTGGAAAGTGCAGTCTCCTGGGGTCAGCAACAGCCAGAGCACACTTACCACTCCAAAGCCTGGAGGGGCTGGGGAAGGAATGGTTGCAAGAACCTTAACTAGAGAGGATTGATCAGAAAGGACTGGCCAGCTTTCGATCTTGGATGCATCAAAGTAATCCTAGTACTGTCAGTACTAATCCATTAGTAGGAGGAAGGGCTCATCTGGCCAGTTGAAAACCCTCTAGATGGAAGCCAGGAGCAGAGGATAGCTGAAACTTACTCTGCTTTCCTGATCTCCATCAGCCAAACCCAACCTCCCAGAGCAAGAAGGAGCACAGAGAAGGGGAACAGTAGCACACACCTAATCATGCAAATACAGGCATGTGTCACTTAATGATAAAAATATGGTCTGAGAAGCGAGTTGTTAGGTAATCTTGTGCTTGTACAAAAATCAGAGGGTGTACTTAACAAACACAGAGGGCATAGGTCAAAGTGGCCTTCTAATGTAATTAAGATATGGTGTTTTGATAGTAATCTCTATTTTTAGTAAGTAGAAGGAGTACACTCTAAGGATGAAAGTATAATAATATATAAACCAGTAACAGTTGTTTATTGTTGTTTATCAAGTATATAATGCACATAATTGTAGGTGCTATATTTTTCAGCTCCATTGTAATTTTAGGGGACTATAGTAGTACACACAAGTTGACAGACACATCATAATGTAGCACATGACTATATCTCAAAAAGAGGGAACAGAATTTGCATGCAAATAGACGGGAAATGCTGACTGAAATTCTATTATCCAAATAAGAAAGGATAAAGAATGAGCAGATCACCTCTTCTATCTAGCTTTTAGAATAGACTTTTCCACCTTGAGAAAATAAGTATTAGGATTCTAAATAATCCTATTATACTAACATAAATGCTACCCTCTTTGAATCCTTCCCTGGCTCTATGCCCACAGTAACTCCTTTTCTGTGTTCCACGCCGTGCAAACTAGGAAGCTGATTAAATGTCTCATTTGTCTGCAGAGTTACCATCAGATTCCAAGGGAGCGTTCTAATAGTAGAAGGTAAAAGTTTTCTGTGCTTAGGAAGCCTGCATGCTTTATCTCATTTAATCCTCACAGTGATGTTAGGGAGGTAGTTACTATTAACCCTCTTTCACAGATGAATCCATTGCTTATTACAGAGATAAAATAACTTGCCCAACATCTTGTAACTAAGTGACAGGTTAGGGATTTAAATCCAATCCAGAGTCTGTGTGGGTCTTAATCATTAGAATATGCCTATCATACTATAAGTAGTCCTGAAAGTCCTCAACAAATATATGTGGACTATATTTTTTCACATTTTTATTGATACATTATAATTCCATATAACAGTAGGATTCATTGTTACATATTCATACATGCACAGAATATAAAAATCTAATTGGCCAATGTCATTCCAAAATATTGCCCCTTTCCCTTCCCTCTTCCTTCTTTCTAGTCCCTTTCATCTACTCCATTTTTCATCCTTTGATTTTCATGAGATCCCACAACCATTTTTATTCTTTTTCCTCTATATGAACTGTGTTGTAATTGTTTAAATGTTTTGTTA